CCCCTCCTGAATTTTTTTTTAAAGAAACAAAATACAAAACATTACAGTTAGAGTAGAAGCTCTCTCTCATTCCGTTCCCATCCGTCTATCCCCAGAGGTAACTAATATTCTGAAGTTGATGCGTATTTTTTCCTTCTATATATTTTCTACTTTTAGGGTATATCATGTATGGTTTACCATAGTGTTTTGTGTTCTTTTTGAGAGTTACATAAAGGGCAGCATAGTATAGTTGACATCGATTGAACCTTGCTTTTTTCCCCCTGACATTTATATTTCTGAGATTCAGCCTTGTTGATATGTGTAAATCTAGTTTGTCCTTTTTATAAATATACTACAATTAATTTTTCCGTTCCTATATTGATTGACATTTGCAATGTTTCCATTCTTTTTATTCTTAAAAACAAGTGTAAAGGTGTCCTTATGCCCACATGCAAGAGCTCCTCTAGGGCTTATTCTTATGGGTAGTATTTCATGTTCACAAGGTATATACATCATCAACTTTTTAGGGTATTGACAAATTACTCTCTCTTCCGAGAGCAGGTTATGACAGCTCTCATTTTTTCCTATCCTCTCAAACAGTTGGATATTGACATTCTCTTTTATAGTCTAATAGAGGTAAAATGGCATTCCATTGTTATTATAATTTGCAGTTCTCTATTAGATTGACCATATTTCCACATTTTTAATGGTTGTTTGAGGTTCCTCCTCTGTGAAATTCCTGATCTCATCTTTTGTCCATCTTTTTAAAATTAATCTTTTTTTCTTATATTTGCAGGTGTTTTTGTAGATATTGGAAGCCAGTCTTTTTGTCCCATTGCAGACCAAAAAGTAAATTCCAAAGATCTCTGTGGAATGTGGATTATTTGAGAGAAAATGATAAAATGGTAGGGAAGAACCTCAAGACCACAACATGCGTGAGTGTTCCCATATTTGTTCCTCTTAGTCCCAGAACAAAACTTTAGTTAAGTATGTCCCAAAACAAGGATACTGCTGTGGGGGGAGGGAACCCTTGGAAAGCCCTTTCAGGAGTTTTACCAATGTGCATGCAAATTCATAGAAATTATATCATTTTGTTATGATCACTTATGTAATAATAATTCAGCTTTTTATAAGATATTTCTAGTGGGCATTTATAAACCTGTACCATAGCATGTTTTATGTCTTTAAAAAGACCCACTGGAGCTAGACCCACTAGTAGGCAGCACTAGACCTTACTCCTCCTTCTATACCACAGCGGGCTTCCACTTTGTGGCTTGATTTTAACTTTGCTGATGGTTTCCTTGTTGGTTCAGAAGTGTAAACTTTAAGAAAACCATGTTTATCATTTTTATCTTTTATACTTTTTCTTCCTCAATCTTATGAAACCTTTTCCACTCTTATGTCATAATGACATTTTCCTATATTTTCTTCTCAATGTGTTAAATACTTAAGTTTTCATATTGAGATCTTTATTCTGAAATATATTTTATATATAGTATGAAGAAAGAAATACAACTTTATTTTTTCCTCTATGGATTGTCAGTTTTTTTCAGTACCATTTATTGACTAGTTCAACCATCCATTTGTAATGGCAGTTCTCTTGCTATATCAAATTCTCACATAAGTTTATGCATGCTTCCCTGTTTTCTGTTCTATTTCATTTGTCTTTTTGGTCCTCCCTGCACCAGTATCATGCTATTTTTGTTACTATAGTTATATGAGTCTTGATATCTGGTAAGTTACAACTGGTAGCTATGTAAATGTTAATTCACTTTAAATTTTGTGTATAGGTTTATCTAATCTACAAATAACACCAATTGTACTTCTTTACTATAACTATTTCTTTTCCTTGTCTTATTTCATTGGTAAGTATTTTCAGTACAGTGCTGATTATAGAAGAGGTGATCGATGTCTTGTTTTCATTTTAAAGGGGATGTTTCTATTATTTTGACATTAATGTTTGCTTTATTTTTAAATTAACATTTGTTATATTAAAGAAGCTTTTTTTCTATTTCTAGTTTGCTAATAGTTTTAATAATGAATGATGATTGCATTTAATCAAATGCTTCTCCTGCATCCATTGAGATTAATATGTCTTTGTCCTTAATTTCATAAACTGCTTGATTTCATAAATTATTAAAAAAATACTCTAAATATTAAGCTATCCTGACATTTCTGGGATAAGCCCTATTTTATGCCATATTAAAAAAAAACAGATGGTGTTGAATCTGTCAGGCTTTTATTTGGGATTATTGGATTATATGTCAGTACTCAAAAATCACCTTATTAGAAAGGCTTTCACTGGCCATGCTTATAAAAGAACAGACTTCCCCTATCCATTACTCTATTTCCTTACTCTCCATTCTTCTCTCTATAGCACTTATCATCATCTGACATATTATATATTTATTTGTTTATTATCTGTCTCCCCCAAGAGGATATAAATTCAGAAGGAGCAGACCTTTATTTTGTTCACTGCTCTTCTGTATATAACATGAGCAGAATATTTGTTTAATGGACTAATGTACTTGAGATAATTATTGTATGTAAATGAGTAAATTAATGTATAAATGAGTGCTATTCACCTTTTTTTTCTTTTTCTGTCATTGTCTGATTTTGATATTAAGGTTATTCTGACTTCATAATATTAATTGGGTAGCTATGGAACATTTCATATAAAGTATAATTACTCCTTAGGATTTGATAATGTCTAGTGTTTTCTGATAGGAAATGATGAATGACTTGATTTCTTTAATGTTATGGTTATCTTTAGGTTTCTAAAAAATTCTTCTTGAGCTATTTTTGGTAGTTAATATTTTTCAATAAAATTGTTGCTGCTGTCTACATTTTCAGATTAATTGGCATATTAGTTTATTATTGCTGGCTGTAACAAATTACTACAGACTTAGTGGCTTAAAACAACACAAATTCATTATTTTATAGTTCTGGAGGTCAGAAGTCTAAAATGAGCAGTCAGGGACTTTTCCAGTTTCCAGAGATTGACAGCATGACTTGGCTCACTGCCCCAGGACACTCTGACCCTCCTACCTCCCTCTTGTAAGGACCCTTGTGATTTCAGTGGACCCACCTGAATGATAATTCATGATACTCTTCCCATCTCAAGATCTTTAACTGAATCACATCTGCAAAGTCCCTTTTGCCAAATAAGGTAAAATTTTCACAGGTATTAAGAATTAGGATGTGGACATCTTTTGGAGGGCCATTATTCTATACCTGCCACAAGTGGCATCATATTTTTCATTGTATTTTCTCCTGTTTTTCTAGATTTTGCCTTTTTTTATTTTAAAATGCATTTATATATTCCTCTATCACTTTCTCTTTTAATCAGTTTGTCTATTTTATATTATATTTGCCTTATTAACTATACCCTGAACAACTGTAGCAGGAGTGGAGGGTTTATTGTAAAGGTTGGAAAGGCATGGTCAGCCATACTGGCAGTTCTGTTCAAGTCAGTTTCCTCCCACCTGTCATTTCCCAGTAGTTCATCAAACAAAACTACTTTCTTTGTACTCTGAGCGTTCTAAGTAACCCCTGTTAGCATGCTTCCTAACTCAGTGTTAAAGGTCTGGTTCATCCTGAACATTTTCACTCGGCGTCCCACTGTCTAACTGCTCATTCTCTACGACTGAAACCTCTGAGCTTCCTTTCTCTCGAGTCTCAGCTCTTGGGAATACCAAAGGAGGTGAGCGGTTCACCTTACTACTCCCCTCGGGGCCAAGGCCTGGGCATGCGCACCCGCCGCTGCGGACTGGAAGCGAAAGCACGGGTCTCTGGGACCTGTCAAGCTGGTTCCGACATCTGGGGAATTAACGCGTCCCGCCCATCTCTAGCTCCGCGCCTCCGCCCTTGTTCCCTCTCGGCTTCCAGCTCCTACGAGCGAAAGCCGCTACAAAGGGCTTGAATGAAACGTGTGTGGGTTTAGTGAGTCGTAACCCACAAGGGAATCCAGTCTCCCCACAAACCAGCCTCTCTCGGAGGAGGCAGAAGAGGGGGAGGAGGTAAGGAGCCGAGCGCTGGGTCTCGCCCGCGCGCGCAGCGACTGGAGCGGCGGGGAGAGGCCGGGCCACCTCCCCCTTTCCGGCCATGCACCGCCTTGCCCGCGGCGGTTCCAGGCACGACACTCTCCGCCCGGGTTGCGCCTGCTGTCGCAGCAACAAGCTCCTTCGGCCGCCGGCACCGTCTAGCGAGGAGCAGCGCTCGCCCTCCCCACCCCCACCACCGATTCCCTTGTCCGCGAGGACACGCCGCCCAGCAGCCCGCGCCGCCCCCTGGTCAACTTTGAGCAGGAGGAGAAGCAACTTTGACAGTGGCCGCGGGTTTGGAATCCTGCTTCTCGGCAGCAGTAGCCTCACAAGCCGCTGGGGTTAGGTGGGGCAAGAGTTTCCCGGTGCATCTGCGCGGCGTCTGGCTGTTTGCTACCTGTTTCCAGCGAGCCGGGAGCGGGGTTGTGGCTGCCAGTCATGTGAAGAAGGGCAACTTGTTTTTCTCTCCCTTTAACGACCTCGGTTTACAGCTGGATAAAGCGGTATTGAAAGGGTGTAAAAAGGCAGAGCAACTGTTATCAACTGGATAAAGCGCTATGGGAAGGATGTAAATAGGCAGAGCAACTGTTACCAAGAAGGCAACCGCCCAAAGGCAGGGAGGAACGTGGGGCTTGGTCCGGGCTTCTCCCAGTCGCAACATTAATCAACAGTCAGGTGTTGGTTGCAACTTTTCAAGGTCAGCCACCGGGAGCAGCGATTCCCTCTCTGAACCTTGGGGATACGCAGCGCTCGGGTTGGATTTGGCTGAGAAATGCACGGGAAGCCAAAAGAGGAAGGATTGTAGAGGGGGAGGGTTTGTGACCCAAGACCCATCCCCCAACCTCCCCGTAATCTCCCGTCCCCCACTGCTGGGGCGGGGGTGAGTTGTGACATGTGTCTAACTCTCAGCAGCAACTTAGGCAGCAGGTGTTGGTCCTAATCAGGAGCCGCGGCTGCCGGGTGCGCCCTCACCGAGCCATGCGGGCCCCGGGCGCGCCTCTCGCCCGCACCTTGCGGTTGCTGCTTCTGCTACTGCTCAAGGTTTCTTCCTCTCCTGCCCTCGGGTCCGCTCTTTCGCCCAGGAACGAAACTTGCCTCGGGGAAGACTGTTCACCTGCACTGAGCCAGCGTCGCAGTAGGGACGCGTGGGGACTGGGAGATTCTGCAGGAGACCTTCTGCGAACCCGTGCGCCCAGGGAGGAGGAGCAGGGGGCAGCGGTGCGCGCGGCGTCCTTGTGGGACCTGAGGGCCGCCTGGGGCGGTGACCCAGGTGCGGGAAGAGGGGCGGAGGCGTCGGCCGCAGAACCCTCGGGACTTCCAGCCAGGCCGTCTGGAGCCTGGAGGTGGAAAGGTGCCCGGGGCCTGGAGCCCCTTGGAACTTTGGGGAGAGGGAACCTCCCGGCTGTCCAACTCTTCCTGCAGACCTCAGAGGGGAAAGAGAAGGGTCCCAGAGGCGCTGGCATTTCTGAGCACAGTCAGGAGCAGAGTGTGAGGACAGAACCCGGAGCCAGCGACCTTTATTACTGGCCAAGGAGAGGCGGGAAACTCCAGGGTTCCCACCACGACACCTCACCCAAGATGGTCAATGGACCGTCGGGGCACGAAGGGCGGACGATCGCACCCCCTGGCAGGGCGCTGGCCCAGAATGGGTCCTCAGGCGAAGGGGTCCACGAACGCGGGGGTTCCCGCCGGGGGAACAGCACAAACCGGCGCTTGCGACTAAAGAACCCCTTCTACCCGCTGACCCAGGAGTCATACGGAGCCTATGCAGTCATGTGTTTGTCTGTGGTGATCTTCGGGACTGGCATCATTGGCAACCTGGCGGTAATGTGCATCGTGTGTCACAACTACTACATGCGGAGCATCTCCAATTCCCTCTTGGCCAACCTGGCCTTCTGGGATTTTCTCATCATCTTCTTCTGCCTTCCGCTCGTCATCTTTCACGAGCTGACGAAGAAGTGGCTGCTGGAGGACTTCTCTTGCAAGATTGTGCCCTATATAGAGGTAATGGCTTCCAGGGGGTCTCAAACTACTGGCTTTACCCATTTCTGGGATTTATAGCATCAGAACAGCTGCGCCACGCACGTACCTAGCTGCTGAACCCCTTTACTTTTTTTCTGGGTCCCTCCTCCATTTCTCATGTCAATCATTGAGAAAGAGAGAGAGGCAGCTTTGTTCCCTCACCTTCAAACTCATCTGCTCCTGGATTGTGAAATAATTATGATCTCATCATGTATAGAATTGTTTACATTTTAAATTTATCTCGCTGAATATGGCATTTATATATATTTCTGATGTGGCACCTATCAGAGATTCTAGGGTTAATAAATAGCCAGTCTGTGGATGTCATTACCAGAACTCAGCAACAACAACAAAAAAACATGTATTGTTTATTGAGTAGTACTCCAACATGATTTTTCCCCATGAGGATTATTGAATTTTTCTTAAAGATCAAAATGGAAATACTATTTTATTTGACAAAGGAAATCTGCCTTTGTCAGTTGGCTTCATGATGTATTAATAACCTCCCAAATTAGTTTAAGTGTCCTTTGGCTGTCTGCCATGCCATCCCATCTAAATTCTATGTCATTTCTTATTTCTCTTCTTTTCCTTCTCAATTTCTTAACAGTTTTATTTATTTTGTATGAATGAGCTTAGGCAAAAATAACACTTTGGCCATCCTGGCACAGAATTCATATATATGTATATGTGTGTGTGTGTGTGTGTATAAATATATATATATATATAAAGTGTATATATATATATACTATATATATACTAAGTATATAATATATACTTGTCATTTGTTAGTATATAATGGATTGACTATTTTAAGGCATTGACTAAGACTAGAAAAATTTCTTAAGAAAAAGGGGGCATATAATAGTTTCCAAACTTTGGAAAAAAAATATTGCTGAGTAAAATTTTATTGTTTCATCTTACAGCTAGTGTCCTGAACCGTTATTATGGTAGTTGGAATTTGCTCTTTAAATGGCCTCTGTTTAAACACCAGCTCTTGGAAGGAGCCCAACTGCTTTGTAGCCAGTTGTGTTTTTAGCCAGCTGGCCCTTGATTTCCTCCATTCAAACTGCCCATTTCATTTACGGAAGCAGAAGGGAAACTGTAAATATTCCAGAGCCCCTGATCCTGTCTGGCACCAGAGCCAATGACACTATGTTCAACATTGTTCCAGGGCCTAAAGCTAGGGGATAAGTAAACAGAAAACAGTACCTACTTAGAAGAACCAAGGGAAGAGACGGTAAATAAGACCCTCTGTTATCCTGGCAGGGATCAGATGCAGAATCATTCCATGCTGGTTAAATCAGCTGTTGCTACTTTACCAAGGCCTAGGGTTTCTCTTGTTGCCAGGTGCCAAGTAGCTCTGAAATATCTAATTTATTTGGTAGACAGTTCATTTTGAATTGCAGGGGAGGTAGTTGAATTTATGTAAGAGAAATGTGTCTATCAGTTGCCTTTTCAAGGTCAAGATTTATGATTTCTCTCTTGGAATAATGCAGAGGAAATTGACATATGCAAGAATGAGACAAAAGTAAACTATAAAGTGAACAGGAAAATTACCCCCAGTAACAGAGAAGTGTATTGGCTTGTCTAAAATGTACTGGGCATGATGAAGCCTTTATACATTAGAAGAAAAAACAATATAAAGAGAACAAAAAAAAAAAAAAAGAAAGAAAGAAACTGGGGAAAGAAGAAAAAAAGAAGTTACCCAGTTCTTAAAAAAAAAACTTTAAAAGAAAGGCATCCCATCCAAATTCAGAAAAGAATATAAAAACTTTCATTAGTTTATGAGACCTATGAGTTTTGAGTGATGGTATTTATCATGTATGTCTTTTCTAACTCTGAGGATTTTTTTTAAATGTATGTTTTCTTTTTTATTTCATTTTTAAATTTAATTCTCTGCTCCTTAAGAATATTTTTTACCTTTTTTATTATTAAAACAACTATTGTTATTTTTTTCTCTCTGTATTCCCCCCTTCTTTATAGACCTATTTTTTTTTTTTTTTTAGTTATTAGTACTAGGCCTTATTTTCCCCAGAGAAGCAAAGGTTAGAAAAAAAAATTTACTCATTTTTTTTCTTTAAAAATTAGACTGTGATATACATTTTTACTGTTAAAGTAATGAATGAAAATCTTAAGTTTCTTAAGTAGTGTTTCTGCATTCCTATCCTATTCTGAAATAATTTTATAATTCGTTAGTATGCTTTGTGAAAATAATTATTGGATAGTAGTTATCAGCTCTATAATTCCTGATGACGAGAACAGGAAATACAGTCCAAATTTCAAAATAAAACATTTCTGCCTCTAGGAGGCACTATTAGTTTCACAGAAGTAAGAGAGATTGAGTGCCTGTTCCATGTCAGGTTCCCGAAAGAACAGACCCAAATGTGGAGATTTGCTTTGCAGGAAGTTTACTGGGGAATGCTCTCAGGTTCAACACCTAGTAGGGAATGAAGGAGGCAGGATTGGGCAGAGGGAGAAGTTTAACTGTGATCCAGATGCCGGAGACCTTGGCTGACACCACAGGAGCTCCCGGGCTGGAGGGCCTTGCCTGGTGTCCTGAATGAGGCAAGACAGCCCAGACTTTTGTTTCCTAAGGGACCAGTCACTGGATGGAAGTTGCTCCCAGGAAGCCGGGACATAACCTCGATCTGGGTGGATCTCTCTGAAGGGCAATTCCTAGAGGGGGATGCAGCTGAGAGCCACCAACCACCAGTACTGGGGGGAATCAGCCCTGCATACCTGAAGGAATTTTGTGGGGAGGCAATCTGGGTGGGGAGCCATAGCCTGCACCACAGCAGCTTTTGAATTATCAGGATAAATTAGAACCAGATGGCACTCTGATCCAACCCCCTGACTTTAAAGATGAAACATGAGGCCCAGAGAGGAGAAATATCATCCTAAGCATATATACCTCGTCTGTGGCACCCACACTCCTCATCTCAAGTTTGCTTATTAGACAAACATCTACGAGGCAAGAATGTCCAATGGGTGTTTCCTTTTTATGTCTCCTCCTTGGCATCTTTTATTTTTTTTTAAAGATTCTATTTATTTGACAGAGAGGTAGAGAGCACAAGTAGGCAGAGCAGCAGGCAGAGGGAGAGGGAGAAGCAGGCTCCCCGCTGAGCAGGGAGCCCGATGCAGAACTCTGTCCCAGGACTCTGGGATCATGATCTGACCTGAAGGCAGACGCTTAACCGACTGAGCCACCCAGGCGCCCCTCGGCATCTTTTAAAAAAGATTTTTCTATCCAATGGGTAGGTAAAAATTAACCCAGTTAACATCATTTGCTATATGATGAAATTTATAGCTTTTTATATTAAATTTCATCTTCTCATAAATTAACAGTAAGTTCCAGAGTTGGTAGCTCATTAAATTTTTAAAAACTGCAATCATCTGAGTCATTTGCACTTTTTAATGTGTCAAAGATGATTATTTTAGTGAACAAATTAAGCTATGTAGGTTACATTTTTATATTCTTAAAAATCACAAAGTGTTTTAGACTGGTAAAAGACACTGTAAATAAGTATATTTGTTTAAGCTTTCTCAAAAATCTTCCCCCTATGATTCGATATCTGTGTAATTGTGAAATGATCACTATAATAACTCTAGTTAGTATCTGTCACATTACATAGTTACAACATATTTTTTCTTATGATGAAAACTTTTGAAATCTACTTCTAAAATCTAAAATTCTTTCTTAAAAACTTCCAAATATGCATTAGAGTATTATTAACTATAGTCACCATGTTGTACATTACATCCCCATGACTTATTTTATAACTGGAAGCTTGTATCTTTTGATACCCTTCAAGAACCCCCAGCCTCTAGCAACTACCAATCTCTCCTCTGTATCTATGAGCTTAGTTTTTTTGTTTTAGGTTTTTTGTTTGTGTATATGTGATTTTGTTGTTGTTGTTTTTAGATTCCACATATAAGTAAGATCATGTGGTGTATGTCTTTCCTGTCTGATTTATTTCATCTAGCAAAATGCCTGGAGGTCCATCTATGTTGTTACAAGTGGCAAGATTTCATTCTTTTTTATGGCTGAATAATATTCCAGTGTATGTATATGTGTGTGTATATATATATATATATACCACATTTTTTTCATCCATTCATTCATCCATCAGTAGACACTTGGGTTGTTTCCTTGGCTATCACAAATCATGCTGCAATGAACATAGGGTTGCATATATCTTTTCAAGTTAGTGTTTTCATGTTTGTCAGATAAATACCCAAAAGTGGAATTGCTAGATCATATGATAATTTTATTTTTAATTTTTTTAAGATTTTATTTATTTATTTGACAGAGAGAGAGAGCACAAGCAGGGGGAGCAGTAGAGGGAGAGGGAGAAGCAGGCTCTCTGCTGAACCGGGAGCCCAGTGTGGGGCAGGGTCCCAGGAGCCTGGGATCATGAGCTGAGCCAAAGGCAGATGCTTAACTGACTGAGCCACCCAGACACCCCTTTAAATTTTGAGTAATTTCCATTCCATTTTCCATAATAGCTACACCACAGTTAATTTTATTAATCTTCAGAAATTTTCTCAATTTTCTCTCCTATCTTCCCCCTCTGCCTTCTTTTCTTCTTCTACCATAGTTCTTTTTTTTTTTCCTACAACTTGGGTATTAGCATAATCTTAAGGAGATAGTGGAATTTGGGGAGAGTTGGGTTTGTGTAGAAAAATAGGAGGCGTTTCTTCAGCAGAAATTACATATCTTTGCAATTTACATTCAACTCTTGTTTTATTTCAATTTGTTGGCATAAGGCTTGGGGAGAGTAGCCAGATTCCAGGGTCTGTTGCTAGAAAGTAGTTTTATCATATTTAACGTTGCTATGAGTGGGAATATACTGGGAAATGTTGTAGTTGATAACTTCTCTCTTTCTATTCCAGGATTCTGATGCCTTTGTAGCCTAGTGGTAAGTCCCTTAAGGATCAAGGGCAGATGGAATGGTAGGAAGACGGGATAGGAGAGAAGAGAA